CTCTCTCTCTCACACACACACACACACACACACACACACACATTTTAGGACAACTGAAGCAACAGTAGTGAGAAGCCCCCTACCTTAAAAATCCTCCATCATAATAAAGAAAGTTACATGTTAAGGAACTTGCTTGATGAATTCCGCAAGTAATCACTGCCCAAAATGATATACATCTGAGACTCTTGTGTCTGGGTTTCTAAAAATTCTTAGGTAATCTTCAAATGTACAGTAATGATAACAGCTTCCCTTGCACACATGGGAAACAGCCTCGCTTACATACACGTGGGAAGGCGCATGACAGTTTCATTTTCATTCTCACAACCATCCACGGAGGATATTCTCACCTTCCCAATTTTACAAATGAGGAAGCAGAAAATAAGGAAGAATTGCAGATAGTCTCAAAGAAAATAAGAGAGGAAAGATTTGTAAAAACCTGAGCTAGATTTCCTGCCTCCTAGAGATGAGGGCACAGGGTCGAGTGAAATTAGAGGGCACAGGGTAAAGTGAAGCGTGTGCAGATGCTGAGGCAGCTCTCTCACCCTGTAGCTGTGACGCAAGAATGCTCCTTTCGGTCTCACTTGAATGTTAGATGTGTCTGAGGAGCCATCATTATTATAATCACCAAAGGCAGTTTCTGCAACCAAGATTCAGAAATATGAATAGACTTGCCCTGTGCTAGCTTCTTTATAAAGGAGGAAGTCTTGCTCAGCATGTTTAATTTCCATCCTTATTAGCGGAGCACATGACTGAAACTTAGGCCATGTAGAGTTTATCTAAGTTTTGCAGAGACCTTATTAAGGGCTCATAACTCAGTAATTGTCAGTTTCTTCTTGAGCAAAGTGAAAAGGGGACCCTGTGATGATGGGGGAAATATTTGTATGGGGTTTATTACATAAAGATGGGAAAAGAAAACCAAACATTATAAGCAGAAATGCTAAAGACTTTAAAATACATCAAGGATGGAAGAAGACCTGTATAAAAGCAAAGTTTAGCAAGCAGAAAAGAAAAACATGGGATCCTGTGAGGGACCCAGTAAAAATATTTATGAATTTTGTTTGAAAGAAATTAAATTGTAATATGTGCGGGAAATAGGTAGGTTTGTTTTGTGATAGGAATTTTAAGATTAATCTTTACGTCAGAAAATGCTAGGATCCTTCTAGACTCTGACTCACCAGGTGTGTTTGTGTGTGATCTATGCATTTGTGACCACATATGGAAATATGTATAGTTTTGCTCTGAGGTAAACAAATACCAGTGCACATGCATTTTTATAGAGTGTGCCTCTGGGTTTGGGGAAGATGCTGGGGGGTGATATTGCTGGATGGGAGTGTATGTGGTTGCCCTCGATGAGGGTTCTGTCGACTTGTCCTACTGTGTCGGCGTGGGAGGGCACAAATCTGTTTTCCGACTCTCATCAACACTTTGTGAACTGTCAGACTGCAGACAAGAAATGGAATCCCTTTGTTACCTTGATTTGAGCCCCAACTCCTTCGCCCTTCTTTATATTCCTTAGACATTCAAGTTTTGTTCATTAGATATCCAGGTTTTCTCCTTCGTTTGCTGTTCATAGGACATTTATTTATGAGACATTCAAGTTTTCTTCTCTGTGAGTTGCCTGCTTCTATTTCTCACCTATTTTTCTATTGGGTTGACCTTATGAATTTATAGAAACTCATGTGTGTGTGTGTGTGTGTGTAAATCTATATTTGATGTATTTTCTTTAAGTCTGTTTCTTATCATAGCTTTGAATATGAAATTTTTTATAATACAAGCGAAGCTATATATAATGTAGTTCTTAAGAGCATGATGTTTGGAGTCAGATTTCTGACTTCACCAATTTAGCCACATGAGCCCTAAATTACTTAACCTGCCTGCAGCCTAACCTCCTCGCCCCTAAAATATATGTACATATACATATATATGTGTACACATGTATATACACGCACACACGCATTTATACTTCAGCCTATTTTATAGTCTTGGGAAGGAGATGGTAGAAAAGAGGGAGAGGGGTGGGTGGTATTAAATGCCTGACAGAACAAGCTCCTTCAGCTCCGCCCCCGCCCTCACTCAGTAGTCACTGTGAGAGGGAAAACGGAGTAAGAGTTTAGTGAGGGTCGTGGGAGAGAGGGGAGGGGTAATTTTTATATTTTTCTCACTGTTCATTTCTCACGCCCTCCTGTCGAGTAACAGAGCAGCCGTCGGTGCTGCGCCGACATTGCTCTCTGATCTTACCCCAGGATGACAAAGCTCATAAACCGGCTTTTAAGAACCATCTCCATGCTGGAGTACTTCATCAACGGGAGCTGGGAGTGGAGCACGCGCAACACAGAAATGCTGATGTCCAAGCTGAGTCCCGAGGACCAGAGAGTAAGTACGGCACTGACTAACCAACGGGAAGATCTTACTTACTTGGAGTTTGGAAGCCTTTGACCTGGGAAACTGATGAACAAAGTTTTAGTTACAGACACAGAATTGTTTTTTGCTAGGAAAGTCAGTCAGTGCTGTCAACACAGCCGCAGGAAACAAGTGTAATGTAAGAAGGAGGGTCTTGGACTTCTGTTAGATCCCCACTGCCGTCCTGCAGTCACGATGCACATACTTACCTTTTTTTTTTCTTTTTAATCCTCTCCCGAGGATATTTTTTCCATTGCTTTTCAGAGAGAGAAAGAGGGAGGGAGGGAGAGAGAGAGAAAGAGAGAGAGAGAGAGAGAGAGGAAGAGAGAAACATCAATGTGAGAGACACATCGATTGGTTGCCTCCCACACGCACCCCGACCGGGGCCTGGATCGAGCCTGCAACTGAGGCACGTGCCCCCTTGGCTGGAATCGATCCTGGGACCCCTCAGTCCACAGGCCAATGCCTTAACCGCTGAGCCAGGCTGGCCAGGGCTCACCCACTTAGCTTAAACCCTTTGTTCACTCTCACAGCTGTTATCTTCTCAACAAACCCTCTCTCTGTACCTCTACCTCTCCCTACCAGCCATAGCATAGGACAAATATTTGTGCTTGATCCATGTTTAAATATTGTTAGGCGCATGGTAACCTCTATTATCAGTGCCTTTGATATAGCAGCTCAAAGAATCTCCTTTGCAGGGTCCAACCTAAGTCTTCTGAATTCACTCTCCCTCATTTATGTAAAAGAAACTTCATCAAGTAAACAAAGTGATGGTCCCGCCCGTGCAGTTCTGGCGATCCATTGTATCTTTCTGCCCTCAGGTGTTCAACTTTGATGTGCGCCAGTTGAACTGGCTGGAATACATTGAAAATTACATTCTCGGAGTGAAGAAGTACTTACTGAAGGAGGATATGGCCGGGGTCCCAGGAGCAAAGCAGCACTTGAAAAGGTGAGCACGCTCCGTCGCTGATAACGGAGCACCTACTGCGTACATCACATTTTACACAGACATGAAGTTTGAGCTGGGAGGGGAGCAATTAACATTTTTCGAGCATTTACTGAATAACAGGTCCTTCCCTCTACACTGCGCCCTGTGAGACACTGTTTCATTGAGACTTCACCACGCCTCTGCGAGGCAGGTATTAGTTCTGTTATCCCATTTTTATCAGAGTCAGTTAGGCTCAGAGAAGATAAGTAACTTGTTGTGGTAACATTGGGAGTATAAGAGCCAAATTGGAACCCAAGGTGGTCTAGAGAAAGAAAACCCTACCGGCAGGAGACCTGACCGTACTATTTATCACAGCAAATCACATAACTACTCTCCCAGTCTTTCAGCTGCCTGAAATTTGTCATTAACCCCTTAAAGGACAAGGAATTATAGCAGTCTGGTAAAATTCTGGTGGAAGCAAAGGGTTTTTAATGCAGAGAGGGTCCGGGTGGAAAAGCAAATTGAAAACAGTGGAAGCTTGAATAGTAGACTTGCCCTCTAGTGAGCAAGGGCCAGTGAAGATTCGTGAGATGGTAACAGGACCAGGGTACCTGTAAGAAAGATTGTCACTCATGTTTGCAAGATAGGTTACAGTAGAGAGAGGTATGAGAGAGAGAAACTAGTCAGGGAAATGTTATGGAAATCTGATTATTGAGAAAGGATGTTGTGGAAATAAAAAATATATAAAATATATAAAGGCTGTCAGCTTATACCTTGAGCATTTAATTATGAGCTATTTGCTTGTCACAGCCAGAAAGAAGCACATTTATGCTTCAGATAACAGAGTTGGGTGTTTGGCACTGTTTTAATTTCGGCGTTGCATGTCTGTCCCCAGGCTCCGAAACATTCACTACCTCTTCAACACCGCCCTCTTCCTCCTCACCTGGCGCCTCCTCCTCGCCAGGTCTCAGGCGGCTCGGAACGTCTGGTTCCTCATCGTGAGCTTCTGCCATAAGTTCCTCTCCTACTTCAGGGCATCCAGCATGCTCAAGGTCTAAGGACATTTGGCAGTTGTCATTTACCTGGAACCTCTGAGACACCTCCAAACAGCAGACTGTGGTTCTCAAGATGAGGGGGTGAGAGAGAGGATGCCCAGCCACACTGCCTGCCAAATGTCTGTCATGCAATCACCCCTCTTTCTTACCCTCTCTATTCTTTTTATCACAGCGAGAGAAGGAAAGTCATACCCCAGCCTGTAACGCTACATGTTTTAGGAAAAAATTATTTCCAGATTGTTTCCTAACACTCCATGTCCTTGAATATAAAACACCAAGTACAACCCTCTTCTAAAGAGGACTGATTTCAGCTCAATAAACATGGAAGAACATACCTTAAAAGCTAAAATGTGCCAAAGAAAGGCGGTTCTACCATTGGGACCATTCTGGGGTACCCAGTATAAAGGTTTAAAGTCAGTCTAAGTGGAGGAAGAGTGGCCTCAGCACCCTCCGAAATGCTGTAAGGGAAATAATTCTCCACGGGAAGGCCGCTTCCTTTCCGTGCTACGCCGTGGAGTCCTGGGGGAATTAGAAAAATGGGCTTACCTTGAACATTTCCCAACTTTCCCACTCCTGAAACCTAAAAAGAACTGAGGTCTAAATAATTATGCATGGGTAATGAGGCTCAAGCCTATTTGCATTAAGACTCAGTTCTTTATGCTTTTAGCCAGAAATTCTTGCCATTTGAATTTGACAACTATTATTTCTAAATCTTTTGAATCACCAATTTTCCTGATAACCTTCTCTTAGGAGTTTCCTTCTCATTCATTAAAGTCACCAAACCCCTTATATTTAAGCTTATTTTACTTAGGCCTCAGAGTGACTAAATGGAGAGGAAGGTCCTAGGCTGGAATCACATAAAAACCCAGTCCCCAGATCTTTGCCATTGAGGAAAGCAAAATTTCAAATAAAGATTTAAGTGCTGGTTTTGGCCTTTTTCTGTATAGTGAAGATTACTCTCTGTGGCCCCCAGGATGTGCTAGCATGTTGATCATTCCAGCCGCACAGTGTTCACTGTAGAGTGTACAGCAGAAAAGGGTAGCGACTTCCTTAAGTGACTCTAAGGTGAGAGAGCAGGTGTTGTTTTGTTTAAAAATATATTTTATGTGTAATGTAAATGAATTAGCAAAAACGTATTTTCCCCCGAATGTCTATATTACTAATATAACTACTATCCCAACTTTCCTCATATTTGAGAGATCAGTACACGATGGACTGCAGTGCTTCATGTTAAAAACATGGGATATTATTCAAGTATAATATCTGGGGCCTACACAATTACAAATAATTACAACTACTAGACACACAAGCATAAAATGCTAATAAGTTATGTTTGTGCTCCCTCTCTGGAATAATTGGTACTACTTAAAGTGGCACATTCATGTAATTGAAGTGTACAAACCTTGAGGCAGCTTCTAGATTATTCGAGATTTTTCTGGACCCATAAAAGGCATTTTGGGGGAACTCTTCCAGGTAATGTCTTTCCCAGTCTCATCTAAGTTCTGGGAATTACTTTCCAGGGCAAACAACCCAGCTCTGAAACAAAACACCTGGTGATCTTTAGCTTATGATGTCTGTACAATATTTCTGATTTAACACTGATAAAGATACAAAACTACAGATACGGTAAAAAGGAAATCAAGATATATAACTCAGTGAGACTGGATAAAGCATAACAGTTCTAAGAATTTACTATCTTCTAATTGTGTTTCGCTAATAAATTGCACTGATGAAGTATTCATTTTGACTTTTGATGAAATGAAAATTTGAATTAAAAATGTTTTCTCTCTTCCAGTGTTGTATCTTTAACTTCTGACTGCTGCAGATCTCCCTCCCTGAGAAAAAAAAGAATATAATCTTCCAAAGAACCTACCACACTAATATAAATTAACATATAAGTGCACAATGCTTCACTTTTCCTGACACCATTAATAGGACTGTGTTTACATACTGAAGTGTGTCCTACCTGTAGCGTTAAGAAAAATGATATGGTTCTCTTGTGATTAAGCAGTGAAAGTAGATAGGTACGTGTATGACAGAAATTATTTTAAATCAAGACCAATCAGCAATTATTTGAGTGCCTAATATATACAGCGCAATGCGAAGGAACCCCCTGCTTTCGGGGGAAAGGGAGGGTAAGTACAAAGAGAGGGAATCTACATTTAAAACGTGGTTTTGGTAAGCCCCATATTCTGCACTCGCTAGGTACCTGATACAGTAATAAATACTGCGGTGAAGAGTCACCACCGAGGCAATTAATACTAGACGAAGCTGAGGCAGATGGGCACGCAACTCACAAAAACATTTCTCACAATTTTACACTAACTTAACGTTAAATAACTGATTTAGACTCTCAAGTTAAATAGCCTGATGTGAGGGACTAACACCCAAGTAGTGTGTGATCTCACTATAAGCTTAAGAGTTAATGTAGGTGAGCTTCAATTTTCCAAAAATATCAATAATTTACAAAGTTCACAGGCATCATATGCAGATTTCCACGTGGCTAATTTTCTAGAAATACAAATCTAATGTTCCGGGAACATGAGCAGCTACCTATGCTAAAAAGTAATGGCGGTTCCATACGCCCACACAGAGGCAGGGCACGATGCTTGCTGCGTAGGCTCCTTCATATGTTTCCCCAAAATGTATACGCGCTTTAACAGCTGATAACTTGCTTAATTTTCACTCCTTTTCAGGTTTAACTGATTTGAAATAATGGGTGAAGCCAGACTAAGCTTTGAACAAAGACCATTTATCCTAAAGTGCCACTAGACTTTTTTTATGGGGGTGCATAAAAGGTTAAGTTTATGGTACAAAACTGCAACAGTCGACGAATTGCAGGCGCACAAACACTGAACAAAGTGATTCTTCATGTTTGCGATTTCATCGCTTCAAGTTATCAGCAGGGCCTGGACCAGAACGGTCATCAGTTTGAAAATAGGCAATGACAAAAAAAAAATTATTCATTTCTGTAGATCCTCTTAAATTTTGAAAATGAACTGTATGTTAATAAACTGACTTTATAATCATTCAAAGTGTGTATACATTTTTGGGGACACTATATATATATTTTCTTAAAAATTAACAAAATAAAACTAGTAGATGCTGGTTTTAAGATATAATTTACTTGACAGAAGGTAGTGCCCTGTGAAGTGTAGATAGTATGATAAAGGATGTTTGGCTGAAACTGAGTTTTAATAGCCAGAAACAGCTCTTCTGATACACAAACATTTTAGGTATGTGCCTACTTTATCTGAAATACTGATTCCTACCTGTGACTGTAAATAAGTGGGAAACTTGAAACAAACAATTCTAGAATAACTTAAAGAAATTAAAGGTAAGTACAAGAAATCACCAAATCAATTAGTGTAACTGCTTGGAAACGAGAATTTATAAAGTATGTGTTATATGGTCATGAGTTGTTGCTGCAGGTCTGCTTTAGTATGTAGCTATCATTAATGGATACTTTTCCCCACACCTTTTCATTCTAAGTTTTACCTTAAATTACACAATAGAGCATAAGTGAGTTATATTTTGAGGAGCTGTTAAACTGATCCCTTTAGATAAAAATTCATCTCTGCAAATAGTGACAGTTTTACTTGTTACTTTTGGATTTGGATGCCTTTTTTCTTGCTCTGGTTAGAACTTCAAAGCTGAGCTGAATAAAACTTGTCTCCTTCCTGCTGTTAGAGGAAAACCTGTGTCACCACTGGGTATATTTGCTAAGGGTTGACATTCAACACAATTTGGAGTTGCTAAAAAAAACTAAGTTTTTTTCTGATTATAGTTTTCTTCACTACAGGTTTACAAAACTGCTCAATTTAAATCATTCATTCACATTTTATATGGAAAATATAAAATAAATCCAATCTCATAGAGTAATTTAGCTCCGTCTGGAGCAAAAGCAAACATGATGGAGTGTGGAGCGATATGTAAAGATTGCTAGTTTTTCTACGAGGAAAAGACCTTAAACATGAGGACTGAGGCTTACGGGCGGGCACATGATGGTGAAAGAACAAGGAAATTGTTTTATTTAGTCTGTATGTTCAAGAGTGAGACACTAAACGAGTGTTGTTTTCTCTGAAAACAAAACAAAACATCTAAGGCAGTTTGTTTCCTACTCTTCAAATAATGCAGTGATTTCATCACTAAAGAAATATTTAAAAATGGGGAAAAAATACAGTAAGGACACAGTCGGATGGCATTCCAGGCATCATACCAAGGTAGTGAACAAAGGGTGATCTCTCTCAACCAGGGTGGGGAACCTTTTTTCTGCCAAGGGCAACTAGATATTTATAATATCGTTTGCGGGCCATACAAAACTATCAACTTAAAAATTAACTATGGAAAAAGCTTCTAGAATTATTGAGTTTTGAGTCCCGCCTGCGGTTGCCTTGGCAGGGCCAGGCCAAAAGATTTCGCTGCTGCAGCCTAGATGTCCCACCCCTGCTCCAGACGGTGCTGACAAAGGGAGACTCCCTTTGGGGAACTGAAGGTTTGCTGGAGCTTTAAGTAGAAGGGGAGGAAAGTACAGGTGGAAGGCCATCGTCAGATTGACAGGCTCAGGTTTAAGTCATTTTTAAACAATCAAAACTGCATTTTTTTTAAAAAATGCATTTGAAGTCAAGTGAATTTTGAGGTCAAGTTCAAGATTCAAAGTTAAATTCTGAAGCAGAGAAGTTGCATGTAAATTTACTTTTTGGTGGTCTCACTTGTTTATTTTTTCCTTTGTTTCTCTTGCCCTAGGAGATGTATCGGTGAAAATTCCACTACGTGGGATGTCTGTGACTTTACTGCCTGTTTTCTTCCAGGATTATGGTTTCGTGACTTACACTTAAGTCTTTTATCCATTTTGAGTTTATTTTTGTGTATGGTGAAAGTTGGTCTAGTTTCATTCTTTTGCATGTATCTGTCCAATTTTCCCAGCACCGCTTACTGAAGAGACTGTCTTTACTCCATTGGATGCTCTTGCCTCCTTTGTCGAGTATTAACTGACCATATGGTGCGGGTCTATTTCTGGGGACTCTGTTCTGTTCCATTGATCTATAAGCCTGTTGTCGTACCAATACCAGGACATTTTGATTACAGTGGCTTTGTAATACAGTTCGAAATCCGGTAATGTGATCCCTCCCACTCTGTTCTTTTTTCTCAAGATGGCTGCAGCTATTCGGGGTCTTTTTTGGTTCCATATAAATTTCAGGAATATTTGTTCTGTGAAATATGCTGTTATTTTAATAGGAATTGCATTGAATTTATAAATTGCTTTGGGTAGTATGGACATTTTAATAATTCTTCCACTCCATGAGCATGGTATATTCTTCCACTTGTTTCTATCTTCCTCTATTTCTTTTTTGAGCATCCTGTAGTTTTCCAAGTATAGGTCTTTTACATCTTTGGTTAAGTTTATTCCTAGGTACCTGATTTTTTTAGTTGCAATGGTAAATGGGAGTTTTTTTAGTTTCTCTCTCTGAAAGTTCATTGTTGGTGTATAAAAATGCCATCTATTTTCGGATAATTTTGTATCCTTCTACCTTCCCGAATCCGTTTATCAAATCCAGTAGTATTTTGGAGGAGTCTTTAGGGTTTTCTACGTACAATATCATGTCATCTGCAAATAATGACAGTTTTACTTCCTCCTTTCCAGTTTGGATACCTTTTTTCTTCCTGTCTGATGGCTGTGGCGAGGACTTCCAGTACTATGTTGAATAAGAGCGGTGACAGTGTGCATCCCTGTCTTGTTCCTGTTCTTAGGGGAAATGGTTTTAGTTTTTGCCCATTGAGTACGATGGTGGCTGTAGGTCTGTCGTATATGGCCTTTATGATGTTGAGGTATGAGCCCTCTATTCCCACTTTGCTGAGTGTTTTTATCAGAAACGGGTGCTGGATTTTGCCGAATGCTTTTTCTGCATCTATTGCTACGATCATGTGATTTTCATCTTTCAGTTTGTTTCTGTGATATATGATGTTTGATTTGCGAATGTTGTACCAGCCTTGCATCCCCGGAATAAACCCCACTCGGTCGTGGGGTAACTGAATTACTAGCCTAAGGCATGAAAACAGAATGTATATAATATAGCACGCCCCTTACACCACTAAAAAATTAAGAGATCTTGGTCCTTTGTATGAATTTTGTATTAAAGGTTGTAAATTTTGTTTGCATTCATAAATTTATTATACAAATTCAGTGCTTTGTATCATAAAATGTGTATGAGAAAAGTGTGATATATCTATGTATCTGTTTTAACCCTCACCTGGTATTTTTTCCATTGACTTTTTTGAGATGTTGACATTACACATCAATTGTGTGCCTCCCACTCGTGCCTGGACAGGGTTGGGATCAAACCTGACACTGAGGCGCATGCCCCTGATCAGTCCAACCCAAGACCCTTCACTCCGCAGGCCAACACGAACCGTGAGCCAGACTGGCCAGGGAGAGAAAGTGATATTGATCATCTAAGTTAAAAATCAGAATTTTGTAATTCTGAGTTATGCTTTTCCAAGAGGTAGTCTGAAGTGTACAAATATTGCAGCAAAGAATTATTCACCTAAATATTTCATCTCTTCTTATAAGTCAATGTATACTAGTTTTTTTAAAAAAATTCATGTAATTTGAGGTCTGAACTTTTAAAATATTTAGGCTGAAATATATACATGTAGATATTATGAATAGCCTAATAAAATGATGGAGTTAATCAAGTTAGGTGTCCCACTGAAAGCACCCCTGGGCACATGTCAAAATGCACAATAGGTAGGTCAGTACAGTGTTCTCTGCAAGTGAAAGGCAACCCTTGGTGAGAGCAGAACCCCAAACAAACCTTACTATGCAGGTTTACACCATCATCCATCATCCAAAGGGCTGGTCAGAATCTCATGTTTTGATTGCTAAAAATCTGACCTTGCTATTCAAGGAATTTCAGTTGCTAACCTTTCACTTTTAAAATGAAAATCAATAGCAAAGCAAGATTTTGCTTTGAAGAAATTCCTTTCATAGTCTCAATGGGACAAACTAATTCCATTAAAATTTCAATATGGTATTTGGAAAACATGAAAACAGTTAAAACTCATATAAGTACCTAATTTTTTAAAATTCTTTTCAAGATACTTTCCTAACAGAAAGAAAATAATTCTAAATCATCACTGTCTTTCCTCCCATTAAAAAAACAAAAACCCTGAAATTTGATTGAATTTTGTGACAAGTAGATTCACAGAACCAATATTGTCTAAAAATAGCTAACATCCTAATTCTCTCCAGTTAAAATTCCTTTTGAGAGGTGTTTGTTAGTTCCCAGTCTTTCATTGGAAATTATCTGAAGAAATAAAATACACGTGCATTACGTGGAATTTTCTGGATTCAAATCTCTTTCAGAGCACATTGTGTGACCTGCATTAACCAGTTAACGTCATAGCTCTTAACGATAAACTGCATTTTAAACATTGATACTTGCTGTTTTCCTCAAAAGACCATTCAACACAAGCTTTACTGTAATTTTATCAGTATTCCTCCTCTCCATTACACTACTGTCCCAACTGTTTTCAAGAAAACGTGTTTTTTTACTTTCCAAAAAAAAATCCATTTGAAAACCTATAACTTGTGACAGCCTATTCTCTAAACACTACAATTTTAAATCTAGTTTTCCAGCTCTAGCCTCACTGCTTAACCAGAATCTTTATTTCCCCATCTCCCTAAGTGATTTAAACCACGGGGACTGGTTGATGATTCTTCTATCATTAAACACTACAAAAGGAAAACTGATGTTGGCACACATATTCCAAATAAGTTTTTAATGGCACCTGGGTTATATCTTCCTTTCATTATTTTTAATCTTTTATAGTCTGGAAATTTTAAATCAACTCTTAAATAGTAAGAAAGCCACAACAGCACAATCTAGTACAGAATCAAGCACACTCAGGACACTGTGAATGCAGATACCTCATCCAGTTTACAGTGTAACGGACATCATTTAACATGATCATCTCTCAGACGTGATGACATTCTCTTGTTTTACTTAAATAGCTGCCTCACACTTCTATTTTAAGTTACCCTGTTGCCTACTCACCACAACATGTATAAAATATTCTACTTTTTAATATTTTACAAACTGACAGTTTTCATCATCATCAGATCTTTTTTACTCACCCCTGCTCCCAAAGTAAACCATCAATACAATGGTCAGATTAGGAAATTTAGCATCTTTTTAAAAAAATGTGCTGCTTCTCCCTGTGTAAGTGCCCACTGTACAATTTGTGAATAATCCCTGTGACACGTTATAGCACCCATGTACCTGCCCCTGTAAGAATTCACCTCAGTCCTCCATGGCCCTGCCTTGAGCAATTAAAAGTCAATAGCCAGAGTTTAAAGAAAATCAGTTACCTCCAAAAGACCAAATTACTGTCGTTATGGCTTAACACTAATATGGCTATAGCACGTGAACCCATCTGTTTCTTTATCAACAATGTGACCTAACCACAACTTTTTAAAGTCTAGACTAGTTTTCCATATGTTTTCCATATTTTATTCCAACATCGTATTTTAAAAACAAAAGGACGCAGACATTAGCAGTATTAATGCCGCTTCTTCAGATGTGGTCTGACTTCTCTCCCTCGGGCCCTGCGAGGTCTGCCTTGGACGCGCCCATTGGCTGTGAAAATCTCGGAAGGGACGTCTTCCCAGCCATACTCCAGTCGGGCGTATTCACTGATTAGCTGCATAATTTCTTCTAGGACATTTGTAACAGACACAACATATATAGGGTTTCAGTTGCATTTTTTCTTTTTTTTTCTAGGTATGATTCCTGCTTCTCATTTATGTTTTTTTCTTTTGAATATATTGCACAATATTTTATTATTAAAAAAGGTTTTATGTCTCAGGCAAAAGTTTTTCTCCTTCACTTGGGAGGTGCTAATGTGTATTATTTTCTAAAAGAGGTAAGTGGTTGTCCGTGTGGCCATCCTCAAAGGGGACCTAGGGAGAAAAAGACCAGAGCATCAGCTTCACTCCGTACACTAGTTCCTCTAAACACAATGCTCTATGGGGGGCAATTGTTTTCTGGGCAGCAAAAGATACTGTTCAGATTTAACAATGGTACTGCCTTAGAGATCAGTACCATTTATACTATACTACTTACAGAATTGACGGGTTTGTGGGATCCAAGTCTGAAACGACAGTAAATTATTTCAACTATAAATTTTCCAATTCCATGTAACATGCCTATAATTAAAAAAAAAAAGTTTTTAATTAAATTATGCTTTTAATGAAATTATTTCCTAAATTGCTATGTAAGAATATAAAACTAAACTAATTATAATGGAAAAGACTAATGAAGGAAAGAAAGCAGTTTGCTTTATTCCCACAGTTAAAAATAACACGACACTAAATTTTAAAACAAATGAATTTCTTATCAAGATCACAAGGTCAAACAATTCATAACCCTGACAAAGCAATCTTTTCAAGGGTGCTTAATACATCTCCCACCTACATAATTTTGCAAATAAGTAATAACAGGACCACAAATTTAAATGGATTTAAGTGAAGCAGTAACAAAGACTTTTATAAGAAAAGCTAGTAATTCATCTGAAAAATATAACTCAAAGTATATAAACTACCCAGCTCCGTGTGATACTGAATAGGGGCTGGGGATAAAGAAGGAACTATATTTCCTTTCTCTAGTGTACTTAACTCTCAAATTTTCATGATTATAGTTCCGCAAGTTATTTTTGAGAGAAACTCATAATCTCAGGACAAAGAAGCCAACGTCATAAAACACTGACAAACTATCACATAGTTCAAAGTACCATAAGATATAATTTTACATATCATACAGTTAAAAATATTTTAAACCAAAAAGACAATTTATATCCAAGTGCCTACTATTTTTAGGCATTTTCTAATCTAATTCTACTTTATACTTGTAAGTTAGGAACCATTATGCCCTTTTTTACGAAGAGAAAACAGTTTTGGAAAAGGTAAGTGATCTATATAAGGCTATCACTATATAAATGGGAGAACTTGGACTCACTTCTAGGATCTGTCTAGCTCACTAGGTAATCTTCTTTAAATTACTGAATGCAGTGAACGTAGGTATGCTTAATGCTTAATCAATTAACTCTGGAGGTCTGGAATGAAGTCTTAAAGAAAAGGTGCTTTATATATATCAAAATATGAAATTGTATATTTTTTGCCCATTTTAAGTAAAAGCATCTTAAACTCAGTGTCAGCAACACTTTTAGAAATTAGACAAAAATGGAATGAATTCTTAACCTGTTGTTGAAAAGATTCCTCCAACGATACCACAGAGTCTTACAAAAAACTGCCAGAATGGCATATGCTCTTCAGTAACTGTCACCATAAGAGAACTGAGATCATATTTCATAAATATCCCAGAGACTCCATGGCTGCCTGCAGCATGGTTAATGACACGTTCCTACAGGAAGGCAAAGGAAGGGACAGAGAGGAGTCATGTCATCTGGTTACTTACATGCAGTCAACATGAAGCCCTACACACACCCCCCCACTGCCTGAGACGGACATCCAGATCTCTTCACGAACTGTCCTACCAGACTTAAGATATTAAGAGACAATCAAATTATTCTGATTCTTTGAGTGGTAAGCTTTCAAAGCAACCAAAAGAACAGAATTATTCTTTCCTATTTTCTCTAAAAGATCACTTTACATAGAAGTTTTCTATTGAACTCAAGCGCTTATACCTGTATGGCCCAGTCTTCATTGGCCAAATCAATTAAAACAGTTCATATTTTGACATATTTTTAATATTTCTTTGCTAATAATTTACATAGTCATATTTATTTCCTGTTATGCAGAGCCTTATACACACATCATTTTTGTATTTTGTTCCACTTAACCTTTGGATTCAACTCCTAGAACTGGGATTGCTGAGTCAAAGGGTAGATGCATATGCCGTTTTGCAAATACTGTCAAACTCCCTTCCATAGAGACTATGCCATTTTGCATTTCCCGTAGCAACGTGTGCCTGTTTTCTCCAAAGTCTTGCCACTATGTAGACTGATGTTCAGATGGTATCAAACTTAGTGAGAAACGGTTATCTCCCCACCCCTACAGAAATGCAGAAAAGCACAATATATACTTGTATACATTTTACCTAGTCTGTCTCTTTCTGTATGTGTGTGTATGTAAACACACACACTTATATACACTTGATTTTCCCCCTGAATCATGTGAAAAGTTATGAACACATGACACTTCACCCCTAAAATCTTCAGTATTTAATCTCCTGAGAATAAGAAAAATTCTACGATTACTGAGGACACAGCCATCACAAATTATAAGGCTACTAAAAACTCCATATTGAGAAAAGCACGTTTTTAAAGCACTTAGATTTTGCCTTAGAAGTCTTTTGAATAATAGTATTTGAATATTCACCATTCTTAAACACAACAAGAAAACATGAACCCAGGATAGATGAGAAATGTTAAACTGTCCAGTTTTGAAACTCTGATCCTCACTATCAGATTTTTTTATAAGGCTACTCCACCCTGAGGTTGCAGAACATTTGTCCTCTTATTAAATACAAAGCACAAGTTAGGAAGGCAAAGCCCTTAAAATCTGTCATCTGAGTCACAATAACCATGCATGCCCAGGTTAGACACATTAATTAAAAAATAAATAACACAGAAATCAGAGAATCTGCTGGCAAATAAGGAAACTGCTTATACTGACATAAGAGAAAACAATACAAAATTAAGATATTAAGAATGGAATAATACCATCACAATTTAATAATTCTGACTTAATTGAATACAAAACCTTCCAGATTTAAAAAACCTACTTCTTTTCTTGCTCTAGAATATACTAACACCTACTTCTGATATCTTATTGTCTTAAAATAAAATGTTAATGCATTTTGAAATGGGGGAGGGCACCAACTGAAACTACCACCTTATTTTGTAGCAGGAAGACTATAAAATGCTAAAAAAATAAAATAAAATCATTTTATCAGTTGGATTTAACTTACCCTCTCTGTCACAGAAAACTGATGGGTGTCTGCTGAAATTTTATATGTATGTAGCTTTGTTGGCACAACTGTAATAAAATATTGGAACATCTGGTTGTCTAGAATAAAAACAAAATGTGTTCTTTCCATCAATCCAGTATCAACAAAACTACTGCCAAATATACCCTCCTCCTATTAAACACACTTAACCTGAAATTTAATGCAACTCATGACTTAGTGTCTAGCAGAAAATAACTTAGAAAGAATTAAGTGAAATCAATACACTATTACTTGAAAACACAAGTTCTCAGTAAGCATAAAATAGTCACATACAGATCTTTTTTAAGATACTTAAAAAGATGAACGAGTCAGATAGATACATTATAATCATGATTCTTATATCAAATATGGAAAATAAAAGCAGCATTCCTTTATAGTACAGAAACTAGTAAGAATAAAGTTACAATACTATAACCATAACAAGACACATTTTCAGTTTCTACTAATATCTTAAGATATATAAGTAAACCAAAATTGAATTAGCCAGCCTTTGGATAAATATAAGGAATTGATACCACAGCAGAAAGATAAATAAACTATTCAATGATGGCCTGGGGTTATTGTGTAATCAAAGGGGTCACATTTATATAGTCATTAGGCATTTCTAGGTTTAATACAAGTCATAAATACCAGTATAATACCAATCATTAATTCTAAACAATTACATAATAGTCCATGTAGTACAAAACATTAATTCTCTAGGTCTATATTCTAAGAAATTTAGAACTAGATATATCTAGTATAGTTTCAACTAGATAAGTAATAATGCCTCAATATGTCTGACCTAAAAACAGTTGTACTTCACACCACATGGTAATAACTGCCTATGTGTACATGAATCAAATGTATCCATTTTAAATGTATGGTTTGATACATTTTAACAAATGTACTCACCCATACGATCACCTCCACCATCAAAACATAAAACATTTCATTACCTCAATCCACTCTATCTCTGGTCCTAGGGCAACCACTGACCTACCTTCTATTGTCATGGATTAGTTTTGCCTATTCTAGAATTTCATATAAGTGGAAGCATACAGTATATACTTTTGTGTGTCTAGGACTTTCTTGCTCAGCATGAGTGAATTTTTATTTCTAATAATCCAATTTCTGTCTCCTATCTCAGTGTAATTCTGAATAGGGGTGGGAAGGAGAAAACTGCAGATAAGCAGGAGAGAGGTACGCATAAGGGTTTCTTCACACACTAGCATTAAACAAGCTTCCAACATAATAAACCAAAACCTGTTTGTGTCACCACTCATTTCTTACTACTTGTACCACTGTAACTTTCAAAAGCAAACCGTTTTTTACCAGTTCTCCCATTATTAATTTCAATGTAAATATTATCACAGGCAATATTAGGGTGAAAGGGAGTCAACTCTGTGGATGGTCTTCAGTTTCAGGTGTTGTACAAATAAACTCTATCGTGTCAGAGAGCGCGCGTGGAAAGTGCTAGGGAGGAAAGGGTGTTTAGGTATGAAGTGTTTATGAAAAAAGGTGAACTTGAGAGCGGTGAGGCAACAGCCAATGCTGCGCACATGGCGGGATAATTAGGCTTGGGAGTAAAAATGAACGACAGAGGAATCTCTCCGCAAGAGGGGAGCGAGGGCCGCTGCAACAAGCACCAAGCAAGGTCAAAGGAACGTGAAGGAAAAACTGGGAACCTTGTCACCTGTGGCGAGACAACCACTGGAGACCTATCTGTCTAACAGTAATTCAAGGAAGGGCTATAAATTTGTTAAATAACTTGATTGCCAGTCTGGTGGGATGAGGGCAGGGGGAGCACAGTTGAATGAAATTTTGCCGCAAGTCACAAATTGTTCCAAAGGTTTCAGGCCTGTCCAAATCTGCTAGTTTTAAAGATGTAACTGCTAAATAATCCCCACAAAACCTCTGGAGAATATCAAAAGGAGGTGGCTACCTGAACACAACAGATTTGTAACACTGCTGTTTTTCCTTTTTGGGAAAAGAGGCCCAACAGAACATATGTCAGGGAGGAGAAGACTCTACCTGCTTTAAAGCTTTGAATAACTTACTGACACTCACCTGATGGCATTTTATAACATAACTAAATGTCTACTAGTCTTTTGAACTTAGAAAAAAAGTAGACTTAAAAAGAAACTTTCAAAAATTAATGTTTATATTTAGAACCACTTCTGTACAGAAATTTATAGTTCATTTAGCATCATGAAACAGTATTATTAAGCAACATGTTTTCAAATAGCATCTCTTAAGTAATATTTAATGTGTTTTGGTGTAGAATGAATATATACTTAGACTAAAAATGAAATTATAATGAATACAGTTTATAATTTCTACTTACATACTTCCAAATTTAGTACTCAAGTGTTCTTAAGTGAAAACATTTCCATACAAACATAAAATACTCCTGAATGTAAGTCAGTATTTTAAGTGACACATCTTTAATGTATCTGATTATAACACTATTCTAAAACTAAAATACTGAAATAAATACAATAAATCTATTTGAATTAATAAAAAATGAAATCTTTAATTTCAGTTTTGCACAGGAAGCTTTAGATGTTCTTAAAAGGTCCTATAAGTAGGGCGTGTCCTACAATATGACTATTTAGGAAGGAGAAAAGCAACCAAAAACCATCAGGAAACTCAAGAGATTATTTGCTACAAAAGTTAAAAAAAAATTAATAATCCACCCATATTTAAATAAACTGAAATATTAAGTGGAATGGAAGGTTAAAACAAACAGTTACAAAAGGTATCTGTAATATAATGTACAACTTCTATCTCTGTTAATAACCAAACCATTCTAGAATAACTCTAGGTTTCTGATGTTTGCAAAATTCTCAGGACAGGTTTCTAAAACGGTAAATATGAATTTTAGAACCTCGAACATATACAAAGAAGAAAATTCTTCTTAGAATGTTGAAACTTTCTTTTGTTCTAACTCTTTGGTGAACACAGGAAGCAGCTATGCCCTACTGACCTTTCATTTATTTAAAAAGTTTTTAAATTCTCCTTCTCCAGCCTACATTTAACTATAATTTCTTACTCTGCTCTATGGCTCATTTTTTAACATTTAAACATTATCCACTAAGACAAGTCTCTCCACACACATCTCCACTTAAAGGTTATCAACCACTTAAACTACTTAAAGATTTATCTATTTATCTGCTATGAGGGGGTTAAAAAGAGGATTATTTAAAATATATTAATATTAAAGCTATAAGAAAAACTACCTACATGTAAATTCCAACAGTAAGTATTAAGTACTTACGATCTACAGAAATTTTTTCAGTTCCATCCAAAGGATTAATAATTCCTGGAACAAGCTCTCCAAAAGACAAATGATCTATTCTGTGAGAAAAGTTGTATGCTGAGGCAAAAAATAAAACCAATTAAGTAGAGAAATTAGTATTATTCAAAACACATACTATAGATGGGTTCACATTCTTATCTACTTTCAGATGAAAATACCTGAAATCTGCAGGTATAATAATATAGTATTTAAAACCACATTAATTTTGAGAAAAATGCATATAAGTACGTGGGAATTAAATGCATAAGGGCAAGTAAATTCTGATAAAATGCTGTATCTCAAATGTCATGATTACATACAAATTAACATTTGAGAAAAAATATTACATCTAAGCCTGACAACCCAAAAAAACAGGTCTTTCCTGGTCCAAATTATCACACAGTGATAGGACTGTGTCGTTAAAACAACTGGGATGATGTCCATGAATCCAAATAATAACACTGATCAGATATATTTGTAATAGCTTGCTACCTAGGACCAAACTGATTTCTTATGGAATTTATTACTTGTTTTTGTTCTCTAAAGCAGACTTTATGACAATCATTATAAGAAACTAACTTGAATGCTGTATATGTACATATGCATATGTCCATACTTAGATTTACATATTGAAATAAACTCTATAAAGCACACCAAGGCGGTCCTCCCTAACCTTGGCGACTTCTGACCATGACTCAATAGAAGTACAGGTAGCTTAAGGATGGGAAAAAATGGATTAGAGCCAATACATTTAATTATTTATTTTCTCTTATGGACATCTTTTCAAAACAGTCCACTTTTAAAGCCCTACCTTGCACCTGCACTAAAATAAACAAACAAATAAAACACTTTTTTTTCCAGGACATCTTCATGGAAAAAAATTCCAGAAACTACTTACAGTCATGGGTGACGAGTGCTGCCAAATGTGCATGACCCCGGGGATGTGGAATTGCCCTGAAAGGAGAAAAAAAGATTAAAGTAACAACATTTAAATATATAACTAATTAAAACCTGAAAAGGGGTCTTTTGTAAGTTATATACTTTTCTTAATATAAAATAAGAACATACTTGGCCTATGATTTAAGTAGGTAAATCTACTTATCTCAGCAATTTAATAAACTGGGGGTTGGCAAACTTTTCCTATAGAGAGCCAGACAGTAAATATTTTAGGTTTTGTGGACCAAGATGCAAAACTGAAGATATTATGTAGTCAGATACATAAATAAATTTTCATGAAATTCAAATGAGCATGACTATGTTCCAGTAAAACTTTATTTTTGGGTACTAAAATTTGAATTTCACATATTTTTCATGTGCTATGATATATTATGCACGTAAATTTCAGCGAAGGAAAGGTTGTTGAAAATCAGAGGCCACTGGGGACAGGCATTTTCGGTTGTCACAATCATTTGGGAGGAGCTCTACTGGCATGTAGTGGTTAGCAGCCAGGGAAGCCCAGCATCCTGCAAGGCAATGACAGTCTCACACAAAATAAAAATGTCCTACACTTTGCATGAGTCCAAACACTCTAAATGGCATTTAGGTACATGAAAAACCTATGTATAATGACCTGAGTCTAAAACTTAACTCCATTTATCTATACAAAGTACTTTGCTGTAGTTTCAATATACACTAAATTTCCCAGGAAACAAGAGGAAATGTTATATTTTGTTCACAGTGCTACACAGAGTTGTTCCCTATTTCAGAGTATCACCTCACCAACAGAAATAGCACTCATGATACTTGGGAGGCCAGCACATCTGTTTCAGTCTGCATTTGCAGCTATTGTAATGACAAATATAAGTGACACGCATCTACCTACTTCATTGCCTTATCTAATGTAGTCATGCTCAAGGGTTTGCATATTAAAATAAATATTTCTCCTTTATAATACAGTTCAGAATGATACTGTGCCTGAGAGGTAATGTGAGATCTTTGAAAAAAATCAATATTAAATTTGACAAACCTACTATCATAAAACTAGGAGTGGTTTACAGTATACCTCAGAAATGATAAGATGCAGACCAGATGCCTTTCCGTTTTTTTTGTTTTGTTACTATTATTGTTGGAATGAGTGATCATCACATGAAGAGAGAAGTGAAACTGGAAACAAAGGCCGTAATTATGGAGGCTCATACAATACTTGCCAAAGTAGGATACTGGAGTAGGATATTGTTTGTCAGGTTTGGAGTAGGATACTGTTTGTATCCAAAGATATAATACAATCTTCTACATTTCTCTGAACCAACTAGTATTTGCCTGGATGATACCAAGAAATTCTAAGATTCCCAGCGACAGGCTGGGAATGGAGAGAATGGGTGCCGGCAACAGTAACAAAACAAAAAAAATTAATGTTAAAAAAGAGTGGGACAACAAAGACAAAGAAATGTTTCATCTGATCACTGTAAACACTGAAATAATTTTGCATAAAGCTCTCATGCTCTCGCTCTCTCTCTAAATATATATACAATCTCCAGCCACTCTCTTTCCTGCTTGTGACCTTTCTCTCAGCATGAATGCCCTTCTCTCCTTTATATATAAAACTGCTAATCATCCACCAGTTTGAACACTATTAAGGTTTTCCTCAATAAAGCCTCTGCTGACAAGCAGAGTAGGACAGCAACCTTGTTACATAGTTTCTTATCAGCCATACTTCTCCTTTATAGGTTCAATACAACTATAATTCAATAGTTATTAGTGCAACTCACTGTTTAAAATTTGGATTCTCTCAGACTGTCACAGTACCATAAGGACAAAAATCCTTTTTCTTTTTTCCACTGTTTCATTCTTAGCATCTAGCATGGTACTTTGCATATAGCGAGTACTCAAAAAATGTCTTTTGCAATGAAAAATTGTTCAGTTCTGCAACTCGAGATGGAAGAGAGGAAGGGAGAGAGGGAGGGGGGATCAGAGAATCTATTTATTCACTCAGAAATATACCAAGTGTTCATTGCACAACAGTTTCTGTGCGGGGGCTGCTTATGAAGGTTGAAGATCTAATATTTTTTCCTTAACTTTTACCTAATTTAACTTTTCCCCAGAAAGTATTAATTTCTAACTACATCAAATTAGTTAGGGTTTATATTTTGGTTACAATCGCCAAACACAAAAACCTAACACCATCCAACAAAATGAGCAAATTAATAAAATGTCTAGGTAAGAGCTTTTAGGGTACTAAAACTGGGTAAGTAGGTTTTATTTCATATTTACATACAGCTTATTTACTTTAACACATAAAATATGACATAACTGTTTAAACTTTATTTTGAAGTAGTATTTAAAGTTAGCAGTCTTCTCTATCTTGAGATTAAAGCCCAGAACATTACTCTCAAGACATCAAAAATACAAATACAAAACATTTTAAGCAGGCCTTTAGTAGTTAATCATAAATTATTAGTTTAGCAAAGAATTGACTTTTAACGAGCTGACAGCTTGTCTGAAGTATTTTCAATAGGTGAAAAGAACATACTTGCCCACAGTTATGTGAAAATTCCCCGCTACTTTATTGACATATAGATGACCGTGAATTCTGCAAGCATCTGGAGGCTGTGATAAATCATCTTCCCTATTACAACAAGATATGTTAGGATTACTTACAGCACGTTCAATATCGTCACCAATACTGATCTGTTTTCAGGTAATGTTTTCTAAATGTCAAAAGTTGAAAAGCAGTTTTTTTTAAGTCTATACATTTTTTAAAAAGCATTTATCTATAAAGTAGAAAAAATTACTTAATTATTTTTTTACATATTGCATTTACACAAATCTAAAACTCCATGGTTTTTCAAATCTAACCAAAGGAGAGAAAAATTAAAAGAATTCATCCAACAAAGACATACTTGCATCATCTGTTTCTGGCCCTTTAAGGGGCAAGGGGAGGGTGGGGACACGAATGAGGGAAGGGAAGGCATGCCATCTAAGTTCAAGGACAATGATGCTTTCTTCCTCAGCAAATGCAAAACCTCTACATAGTTTTAAATTTAAATAATCATTTTCATGATTATAGGATTTCCAAATACCAGCTATTCCAATCTATAAAAGAAAAATAAGTAATATAAAAACACAAAATTCCTAACCAAAAGTCATACATCATCATAATGGAAAATGCAATTAATTTATTCTTAAAACATAACATAATTTTATATGGCAGTACACCATATACACATAAAAGAGAAAAATTAAATGAAAATGAAATACAGTGAACCCTTGAACAACGCGAGCACTGAAATCCACATATAACTTTTGACTCCATCAAAAGTTTACACAGTTGTCCTTTGGTATCTATAGGGGATTGGTTCTAGGACTTGAGGATATCAAAATTTGAGAATGCTCTAATCCCCCATATAAAATGGCATAGATTAATGCAGACAGTTGGCCTCTGTAGTTATTGAAATAAATCTGCATATAAATTAACCTGAGCAGTTCAAAACCATGCTGTTCCAAGGATTAACTATAACATATTTGTGATAATCCTGATCAATATCACAGGCTATAAATTTAAGTGTAAAAAGATATCTTCATCATACAGAATGATTACATTTTCTCTGAGAAATATGAAATCAGAGAACCAAATCAATACTAAAATTATGTCAAAGTAAATTCATAATAAATAGTTGCATTTTTAAAATATATACCTCTCACCTTGGTGGAAATGCTATTGAACTTCTAAAAGCACCAACAAAATGAAAAGACAATCGGATAACATATTCACTGATACATCTGATAAGGGTTTAATAGCCAAAATTTATAAGGAACTTATAAAATTCAACAACAACAAAATCCAACTGACACATGGGCAAAGGATCTGAATAGACACTTCTCCAAAAAGGACATACAAATGGCCAAGAGATATATGAAAAAATGTTCAACACATCACTAATCATCAGAGAGATGCAAATTAAAACCACAATGAGGTTATCACCTCACACCTGTCAGAATGGCTCCATCAACAAATCAATAAACAAGTGTTGGCGAGGGTGTGGAGAAGGGGAACCCCTGTGCATTGTTGGTGGGAATGCAGACTGGTGCAGGCACTGTGAAAAGTAGTATGGAGTTACCTTAAAAATTTAAAAATGGAACTGCCTTAACCAAGCAATTCCACTTCTGGGAAAATAGCCAAAGAAACTTGAAACACTAATTCAAAAGAATATATGTACCCCTATGTTGACTGCAGTATTATTTACAACAGCCAAGATTTGAAAGCAGCCCAAGTGCCCATCAGGAGATGAGCGGATAAAAAAGCTGTGGTACAGCAACACAATGGAATATTCGCCATAAAAAAGATGGAAATCTTACCTTTTGTCACATCATGGGTGGACCTGGAGAGTATTATACTAAGTGAAATAAGCCAGTCAGAGAAAGACAAGTAGCAATGATTTCACTTATACGTGGAACCTAATGAACAAAATAAACTAACGAAAAAATGTATACACCTCACCTTGATGGAAGACCTGTTGAAGTTTTAAAAGCACTTTTAAATAGCACATCTTGAAGTGAATGTTCTTCTTGTAGTCTACTCTGAATCAGCTGCAGCATCCTAAATATAATACAAATGATAGTTTATAAATACAGTAAGGTACACAAAGAAAGCCAACCCTTTTTTAAAAACAACAATTAGATGACTTAGCTAAGCCATACATTTATTATTACAGGACTTTATTCTAAAATAAAGTACCAAGTTTTCTTTGGTCATTTTCCTTGAAAGCAGGAAGAGTGAGGTAGGATGGCTACAGGTCTAATAGCTGGGCTCCATAACGCAGTCTGACTCCATCAATAATGGACATGTAGTCTGCGTCATCAATAAGGAGCTTTTGCTCATCTGAATATCTAAATTCATACATGCACACAGTAAATACAAAATTCTTACTTTTTGTCAGGCATTAAGTGTTATAGATACCAAAAAAAAACCCCACACAAATAAGGGGCCACATAATAGATCTGATAGACTTAGAGTAGGAGATAAGTGGGGTATAGAGCCACAGCACAAGCATCAAATTTTCATTACAGACCAGGATACAGTGCCATTTAAGATCATCTGGTATCGCCTTTTCCAAAGAAACCTGACTTTTATTCTATGACAAGACCATTCTAAACAAAATATTATACTCTACCTATAATTTCTGAAAAGAATATCAGCATGTAAGGCAGAGGATTATAAAAAACAAAGTATACATTCGAAAACTCATGAGCAGATTTTCTTTTTAAATATAACAAGCCACAAACAATAAATTAGTTGCTTGAAGATTTTTTTGAACAAAATTCTTATGTTCACAATAACTTATGAAATTGTTTATTCCAAACAACAAAACCAAAATTAAAAGCTTTTCCTCTAACATTTCTACCTTTGGGCCTCCTCCTATTTTCAGCAATAACTTTGTATTTTCAGTTATAATCCTATGTTATCTTCTTTAATTCTGTATCTTTAAATAACTAACACTCAAAGTCATCTGTATTAAAGTTCAAACTCAGCAAGTATAAAAATTAAAAAGAAGGGAAGGAGGAATGAACAGACAAAACACAGAGGAATTTTAGGGCAGTGAAACTATCCTATAGATACTGTAATAGTGGATACATGTCATTATACATTTGTGAAATCTCACAGAATGTGTAACAACAAAAGTGAATCCTAATAATGTAAACTATGGACTTTGAGTGAAAATGATAAGCCAATGTAGATTCAAAGATTGTATGAAATGTACCACTCCAGTGGTATGATGGAAATGCACCACTCAGATGTTAACAATGGTGATAATGGCGCACACGTGTGGCAATGTGTGAGCAAGAGGTATTTGGGAACTCTGTACTTTTTGTTCAATTTTGCTGTGAACCAAAAACAATTCTAAAAAATAAAATTTTAAATAAAACTTGAGAAAATTATAAACAAATGCAGGCACTTAAAAAAGGAAGCAAACGTAAATCTGAAAAAACTTCACATCCCATCATAAAACAAGATATAAAATACTATGCCCCTTCAACTAAAAACACTGGCAAAACAGGACTCTTTAAAATAACCAGTCATTTGTAGACTGTAAATTTAGTTAAGAATAAATCTTAAGTACAGAAATAAAAAGCAGAAATAGGAAAGGTTATTTATGTCCAGGGATAGAGATTTAGTACTACAGGAGAGAACGTAATTAGAATGCTAAATATTTTAAGAAAGCAGAACATCAACTGAGAGAAAACTTAAATCTCTTTGAGCAAATTCTAAACGTAAAAAATTTTGGTAAGTACATTATTCAGAATGCTAGGTCCTGGATATCTCTAGTCCGTTCAAGAATATTTGTTTGAGAACTGCACACCTGAAACCTATATAGTTTTATTAACCAACCTCACTCCAATAAATTCAATAAGAAGAAAAAGAAAAATACTGAATAAACTAATGTACTGTTTAAAAAAATAAATTAAAAAATAAACTACTTTTAAAACCATTTCATTATTAAAAAAAAAAAAAAAAAAAGGAGTATTTCTTTAGAAGCAGCACACCATTTTGTAGAAATCTTCAAAAAGCCAGATCCCATCTTCAGATTTATACATCCAGAGATTAAAATCTTTGGATATAATGCTAGCAGAAATTGAAAGCCTCATATTTTTGTGTCTTATATTTCCAGAGTTAAATTTTTAGTGCTGGGCAGTGGAAAAAGACAATGATGACACCAAACTATATTTAGGGGTGTGTGTGTATGAGTGTGTGTGTGTGTACGTAATTCTACCTCAAATATACCAATAAATATCCAAGTTTATATTCCATATGTGAAGGCACATAGAAAACTCTACTATGATGGAGAATGGCTAACATTTTATTAGTAAAAACTTAGTCTCTGCTTCCACTAATTACTAGTCCTGAACAATGAATGAAATTCCAGATGAAAGGTGACTCTCACTTTAATATTTCGAGATTTAAGTAACATATTTCATGTCTAGGCAGCTCCCTACTAAAATCACTAGAACCCCAGAAACACCTAATACTCAGTTCTTTTGTTCAACTACTTGATTTCAACTTTAATTTTGAAATCTCCCCAAATAGTGAACTTGGAAATTAAAAGAGAAAGGCCTTTGAAATATACTTAGGGGTGAGAAAGAAAATTTTTTAAAAGATGGGTAAAAAATATGTTTTTGTAATAATCTTAAATTAGGTAAAAAGCCTTTCTAAGCACAAGACATAGCCTGGAAACAAACAACAAAACACACACACAAAAAACACACAATCTATGGTGGTAGGTGTAGAGGAACCACTTATAACAAAGAACTCATTTCTTTAATATACATAAGATTCTTTAGAGTTATTTTTAAAAAAAAGCAAAATGGGTACATGGCATGAACAAGCAATTTCACACACAAAAAAAAAGTACAAATGGAGGGAAAAACCATAAAGATATTAAATTGATTCATAAAGAAATAACTAATTAAAACAAGTGCCATACCATTTTTCACCCATCAAATTGCTGAAATTCACCCAAAAATAAAAGTCTTGTTATACCCACTGTTGGTGGTTTTGTACGGAAACAAGTACTTTCATATAGTTTTGGAGTACAGTATAAGCCAAACTATTTGGGCAAGATATTTGGCATTACCTATCAAAATTTTTTCCAGTTTTATTGATATATAATTGACATAACAACACTGTATAAATTTAAGGTGTATGGCATATAATGTGATATAATGTAACTATTGCAAATAATTACAACAATCAGTTTAGTTAACAGCCATCACCTCACATAGTTAAAAATTTTTTTCCTTGAGATAAGAACTTATCAAAATGTTAAATATCCTCTGAAAGAGAAATTCCATTTCTAGAAACTACACACATACACACACACACACAGCACTTAAGGAATTAGATTCAAGAATTTTCACTGAGCACTGTTTTTAATATTAGAATCTTGCAAGCAATCTACCCATCAAAAATGATCCAATTAGATAAACTATAGTTTATCTATAAAATGGACTACTATAGGTACTTAAATGGGAAGTTGTACAAAATATCACATTAGATGACAAAAAGCAAGTTATTGAACCAACATATGGAATGATCCCATTTGTATTAGGAAAAAATAACAAACAAAATATGCAAACATATAGAAAATTTTATATGAACAGAAAATTTTTAGAAGGCTCAAGAAATTTAACTCTGGTTATTACCGCTAGTCATTACTACTAGGCTTATGGAATAATGAGGAGGCTTTTACTTTTATTTATATCCTTTCTGTCCAAACTGAGTATTAAACAATGATCATACATTGCTTTTTAAAATTTCAAATGAAAACTAAAGTGTACTCATGATTCAAAGGATTAACATAACTTTCTTAAGATCTGGTAAAACTTTTGAATATAGATTATATTAAATATATATATTCTGCTAATATTTCATGCAGAGAAATCCCTAGAAAAATATGCCAATTTATGATTAAGTCGCAACAGAGAAGATGGACAAAGTGGGATTTAGGTTTCCATGGACCACAATACTTTGTTTACTTATTACCTCAGCCACTCTCTGTGCTGTGGTGAAAGATCAAACATTACCTGAAATAAAGAAAAACATAATCACCAACACTGTCAATTTTCTCTTGGCCTTTATATAATAATTTTTAAAATTTTCTTTGATAAAGAAACAAATTTATAGTGGTGTTACAAGCAAGATTTCATGATTTACATTTAATCTTCTATAAGTCAACCTAAAAATTGAAATATATTTTTATTCAAAAATAGTATAAAGAAATTTTATTAATCACAAATATTTTCCCATTACAGTTATCAACATGTATGAGAATGGATACAAATTGGTAATCTATCATATGTACAAAACAGTATCTTAGGACTTAAAATCATTTAAATAATGCCAGCATGAAACTTAAGTATTTAAAAAGAAAAAGACATACCGCTTAAGTATAATATTCAAGCTTCCAAAGTCCCTATCCTCGGGGATAATGAGCTAAACAACAGCACTGTAATTCTTAAACGTATTAATCAATAAAGCAGTACTCAAGAGATTTTATTGGGGCACTATCGTCATCAACTGTCTGTCCGTGGGCTGTGCATGTATGTTCTTTGGCTAATCCCTTCACCTTCCGTTATCCAGTCCCCGCCACCTCTTCACCTCTGACAGCTGTCAGTCTGTTCCATGTATCCACGCCTCTGGCTCTATTTGTTCGTTAGTTTATTTTGTTCATTAGATTCCACATATTGAAAAGACTTAAATTTGGTAAAAGTAGAATACAAGCAAGACAGAATTTCCAAATCATTACAGGAAAAGAAAATTTCATCACTATAGCACCTCTAAGAAAAAGAAAAGGAAACTATTAGAAATCATTAACAAAAATATCTCAGAGGGAAGGTGGGGGTGGGTGGGTGGGGA